ACCGCTGGTGTTTTGTTTTTGCAAAAATTTGAAAGAATCTCTGTAACCCCTGATATCTTATTTCTGTCAGAAACTGAAAGTTTTGCGAGACTTGTTTTTCTAAGAGTTTGAAAGAATCTTAAGGGTCGCCTGTATATTTTTTAGAACTTGAAAAGATGTTAGAAATCTCTGTTTTAGTTTTAAAATGTGAAAGAATTTTCGAGCGTGTTGTATTTACTTCTTGACAGAATTTGAAACGATCTTGGTTCCTTTGTGTTTTCCTTGTGAAATGTTTTGTTTTTGCAAGAGTATGAAAAAATCTCGTGGACCCCTGGACTGAGTCGCCTGTTTTTTTTTTCAGAATTTGAAAAGATTTTGGGAATCTCTGTTTTGCTTTTAAGATTGGAAAGAATTTTTGGGGCCGTGGTCTTTACTTCTTGAAAGAATTTCAAAGTTTTGTGAGTTTTCTTGTTCTAATATCTTTTTAAAGGTAGATTTTGAGATCCTTGTGTTTAACTTTTGAAATGTGAAAAAATCGTCCAGGTCCTGTTTTGTTTAGTATTTTGAAAGACTTTTAAAGAATACGTGGGACCCCTGGGTTTTGTTTTTGTACTAGAAGAGTTAGAAAAATATTGCATACAGAAAGAGTACAAAGATTTTCATAAGTTTTTTCGAGACTTTATTTTGCATTTTTGTTTAATATACTTAGCCATCTTTTCACAACAAGAAACTTAAAACATCGTTAAAATGGCACTTTTTTTACAAGGAAATATGAATTTTGCAATTATGGTGTGGAGCCTGTCGGTATTTCATTATACAAATTTTCCATTTTAAACTTGTTTTAAGTTTCTTGTTGTGAAAAGAAGTCTACACATATTAAAACAAACAGGCAAAAGTGTAAGCCCGCCCACCCACCCTATCTCAATTGTGATGAGTTTAACTGCAAAATACTTATTTCTTTACAAGAAATTAAAAACATGCTTTTGAGTATCGTGCTGTTCAAAGAAAACTATGTATATTAAGAAAAATAAATCCAAAGGTTACCCCCACCCATACCCGCCCCGATCTCAATTCTCAATTGTGATGAATTTTTCATTCGTTGTCAGATCGAGGGGCGGGGCTTAATTGCAAGATCTACATTTGCCTAGAAGAATTTACCATTTTACCCTTGGCTCACGACGATAAAAAAAATCATCCAAAATTTTGCCTTTTTTTCTTAAAATATACACTTATTTCGGCAACAAGAAATGGTAATTCGTTGAGAGAAATAAGGTTTGACAATTAAGCTCCGCCTAAATACCCCGTTTTTGTTTTTTTTTTGCCTAAAATCCGCTCTTTAGACTGATTACAATAGTGTGGTGTATAAGTTAAACAATGAACATGTACAGCCTTCACATCCTCTGATTAAAGAGGCGAACAACATCTTTGACAAGAAATATTGTATTCAATCACAATAGTTTTTGCCTGTAACTGGAAAATGTTGCCGCAATAGTCGGCGTTCTTTCATCGCAAGATTTATTGGAAAGTTTTGTATTTTTGGTTTTTCGCTGTATGTTTCATGTTATAATTAATGAATGATATTAAAAAGTCTACCCTCAAAATAATTTATTAATTTAACGGACCTACGTTGTGCTAATATATAATATACCGAAGTTGGTGCGAGTACTCGGTAATCCCGTCGACCTGTCATTTACTTTTCCCATCATTAAGATGCCTTGTAATTGTTGTTATTGATTTGTCACCAGTTAATCGTAATCGATTGCACTTGGAAGCACAGTGCCTACCTTTTATGTAATTGTGGAAACATAAACAATTACATTGCTGGATAATTTGACCCAATTTCACAGCGATTAAAACCCGTATTACAGTTAAACAACATCCAATTATCCGCCTTCCGTCGAAAAAAAGCAGGAACACCGTTTTCGATTAAGCAATTAAGAAAGTATCTCTTACTTTACCTTACCGAAAATCACGTAGCGAACCTTTTTTCACTTCCTCCTCACCGACCGAATGCAAATCTGGGCATTTTTTTCGTCGGACACGTCGCTCTGTGACATTCCCACAATTGGAACAAAGTAGATATTTGTTTTTGTTATTTTAGCGTTTTAGTTCTTTTCAAGCGGAAAACAACCGATGGAATCGCCGCGCATGCGTTCAAATGGGAAATACGAGGTGTTACTAATCGGCGTTTCCTGTCGCACCGAATCGCATTAAAACATTTTTATTTGTCGTTTCTTCTTCTCGGACTTTTGCAGCTTCGAGGAATATTCCCCAATTGTGAAGGTAAATTAACTGGAACCTGAACTCGATTAATGATCTCGGGGCTTTGTCGCGCCGGCCTGCACAGCGAACAATAAATTAAATAATTACGCCAGTGACAATAGACAAATACGGGTGTTCGAGATGGGCATCGGTTAAGGATGGATGGAGAACGAAGAAAAAACGAGATTTCGTTATTTCATTAATACCAAGACAAAAGCTCCGAAGCCAGAACTCTTCGCTACTTGAAGTAAGTAGTACTTCAGGTACTCGGATCTAGTTTTTGACACAGTTGAATAAAAAAATTGTTTTACCTTCACAGCACATCCTGTTCTGCAGTATCACGGTCGTGTTTTGTCACTAACAAATGATGAACCGATGGACTAGTGGATATTTCAAGTTTCTCACATAACTCAGACGTGTGAGACCGAGCAACGAGTCGTAGGTTGTAGTACCTGAAAATAAAAAAGTACTTTAGAAATGAGAGCGGTTCAAGCCATTTTATCTTCCGATATGATTAGTCAGTTTCAATTAAGGGAAAACAATTAATATGGTAAATATCTGTTTGATGTGATGCATATTTATAACGGCAAGTGTAGACCATATATCATTGTCTCAAACATGCTGATGCATCACGTCTTATTTCTCATGTAAGGTAGGTACGGCAAGATACATCTAATAAATAAGTCACTTGATGAAAGGTACTGACATATTGACTTGTCTTTGTCCGTGTGCCGCGTGATTTACTCCGAAAGTATTGTTGTGTTTTCGTTTTCTTATAAAGTAGTGAAAAACTAAACGTTGGACGAGTTATTTAATAAGTTATTTATAAGTTTATGGAAATATCAGAAAATATTTATTTAATTCATTTTAAGTTTTATATTTGAACTACAGAATACAAGCTAGATAGGACTGATAAAATGACAAGAGGCATTCAGCTGCACCTAAAAATAATTGGAACAGTCATAAATTTGTTCTGTCAACAAATTCTTAGGTAACTTGATCACACAAAAAAATCACCTAGTATTTGTTAGTATGGGAGGTTTCCTGGAGGAATCGAACACCTAACCTGTACAAATTTCGTGTAGGGGGTCATCAACTCCCGATTAAATTCCGTATCTGTTAAACTACGCTGTCAGTTTCAGAATAAAGAATATCCTCGAGAAAACGAATCATTAATAGTAATAATTGGTTGACGGTAATAATAATAAATTTTCCACATTACCCAACAACAATATATTGTCGATTACTTGGTTGTTATGTCGATATTTCAAAATAAATTAACTACTTGGTTCTCAGAAGAAAATCTGAAGGTTCTCGATTTTTTCCTTGTTTCCTTTTTTCCTTTTTTCGTTCTATCCTTGCTTCCTTCCTTTCTTCCTTCCCTCCTGTTTTATTTATTTTTTCTTTTTCAGTTATTCACCGGAAACAATAAAAATATTCCACACAACTTCGATTTACAGCAGCACTACTATTAAAAATAAAGAAATAAGTGGAATATTTAGCGAAAAACGTACATACAAAATTTTTCTTACGATTACTACTTCTTATATGAGTTTTTCTGATTTCTATATTTCTTTCTTTCTTGCCGTCTGCCCTTTTTCCTTCCTGTCGTTCTTGTTTTCTCCATTCCGTCCCGTCTTCCTCTTTTCGTTATTCAACATAAAGTGCATGAGAAAATTAAAACAACCTCAAATAATTAAACAATACTAAAATACAATTACAGGGAACAATTTATTAAAAACCAAGAGAAAAAGTGTTCGACAATCCTCGAATATTTTTTTATTTCGCAATTATTCCATTCATCATTTTGTCTTTCTTTCTATCTTGCTTTCATTCTCCTTTTTTTCGTCCGCTTCGTCCTTTTCGTCCTTTTCGTCCTTTTCGTCCTTTTCGTCCTTTTCATCCTATTCATCCTTTTCGTCCTATTCGTCCTTTTCGCCCTTTTCGTCCTTTTCGTCCTTTTCGTCCTTTTCGTCCTTTTCGCCCTTTTCGTCCTTCGTCCTTTTCGTCCTTCGTTCTTCATCCTTTCCGTCCTTCGTCTTTTTCGTCCTTCGTCCTTTTCGTCCTTCGTCTTTTTCGTTTTTGTCGTCCTTGTCGTTCGTCGTCCATATCGTCCATCGTCCTTTTCGTCCTTCGTCCTTTTTCTTCTTCGCCTTTTTCCTCCTTTGCCTATTCGTCCTTCGTCCTTTCCTTCCTTCGTCCTTTTCGTCCTTCGTCTTTTTCGTCATTCGTCTTTTTCGTCATTCGTCTTTATCGTCATTCGTCCTTTTCGTCCTTCTTCTTTTCGTTCTTGTCGTCCTTGTCGTCCTTCCTCCATATCGTCCTTCGTCCTTCGTCTTTTTCTTCCTTCGTTCTTTCCTTCCTTCGTCCTTTGCGTCCATGGTCCATATCGTCCATCGCCCTTTTCGTCCTTCGTCCCTTTCCTCCTTCGTCCTTTTCCTCCTTCGTCCTTTTCCTTCTTCGTCCTCTTTTTTCTTCGTCCTTTTCGTCCTTTGTTTTTTTCGTCATTCGTCCTTTTCGTCCTTCCCCTTTTCGTCATTCTCCTTTTCGTAATTCGTCCATATCGCCCTTCGTCCTTTTCGTCCTTGTCCGTGTCGTCCTTTGTCCATATCGTCCTTCGTCCATATCGTCCTTAGTCCTTTTCGTCCTTCGTCTTATTCGTCCTTCGTCTTATTCGTCCTTCCTCCGTTTCTTCCTTCTCCATATCGTCCATTGTCCATATCGTCCATCGTCCATCGTCCTTTTGGTCCTTCGTCCTTTTACTCCTTCGTCCTTTCTCCCTTCGTCCTTTTCATCCATCGGCCTTCCTCCTTTTCCTCCTTCGTCCTTTTCCTCCTTCGTCCTTTTCCTCCTTCGTCCTTTTCCTTCTTCGTCCTCTTTTTTCTTCGTTCTCTTTTTTCTTCGTCCTTTTCGTCCTTTGTCTTTTTCGTCATTCGTCCTTTTCGTCCTTCCCCTTTTCGTCCTTCTCCTTTTCGTAATTCGTCCATATCGTCCTTGGTCCTTTTCGTCCTTGTCTTCCGTGTCGTCCTTTGTCCATATCGTCCTTCGTCCATATCGTACTTAGTCCTTTTCGTCCTTCGTCTTATTCGTCCTTCGTCCTTTTCTTCCTTCTCCATATCGTCCATCGTCCATATTGTCCATCGTCCTTTTCGTCCTTCCTCATTTTCCTCCTTCGTCCTTTTCCTCCTTCGTCCTGTTGGTCCATCTTCCTTTTCGTCTTTGTCGTCCTTCGTGCATATCGCGTTTCGTCCATATCCCCTTCGTCCATATCGTCCTTCGACCATATCGTCCTTGGTCTTTTTCGTTCTTCGTCTTTTTCGGCCTTTTCCTCCTTCGTCTTTTTCGTCATTCGTCCTTTTCGTCCTTCCCCTTTTAGTCCTCCTTTTCGTCCTTCTCCCGTTCATAATTCATCCATATCGTCTTTCGTCCTTTTCGTCCTTGTCGTCCTCCGTCCATATCGTGCTTCGTCCATATCGTCCTTTGTCCTTTTCGCCCTTGGTCCTTTTCTTGCTTCTCCATATCGTCCATTGTCCTTTTGGTCCTTCGTCCTTTTGGTCCTTCGTCCTTTTCCTCCTTCGTCCTTTTCCTCCTTCGTCCTTTCCTCCTTCGTCCTTTTCGTCCATCGTCCTTTTCGTCCTTCCTCCTTTTCCTCCTTCGTCCTTTTCCTCTTTCGTCCTTTTCGTCCTTCCTCCTTTTCGTTCTTGTCCTTTTCGTCCTTGTCGTTCTTCATCCATATCGCGCTTCGTCCATAGCCTCTTCGTCCAATCGTCCTTCGTCTTTTTCGTTCTTCGTGTTGTTCATCCTTCGCCCTTTTCGTCCTTCGTCTTTTTCTTCCTTCGTCCATATCGTCCATCGTCCATATCGTCCATGGCCCTTTTCCTCCTTCGTCCCTTTCCTTCTTCGTCCTTTTCCTCCTTCGTCCTTTTCCCCCTTCGTCCTTTTTATCCTTCCTCCTTTTCGCCCTTTTCGTCCTTCGTCCTTTTCGTCCTTTTCATCCTTTTCGTCCTTTCGTCCTTTCTTCCTTTTCGTCCTTTTCGTCCTATTCGTTCTATTCGTTCTTTTCGTCCTTTTCGTCCTTCCGTCCTTCCGCCCTTTCGTCCTTTTCGTCCTTTAGTCCTTTCCTTCTTTCGTTCTTTCGTTCCTTCGTTCCTTCGTTCTTTCGTCTCTTCGTTTCTTCGTCCCTTCAACCTTTCATTTTCTAGTCCCTTTGTAGTTTCATTCTTTCGTTCATCGTTAGTTCGTTACTTCGTTCTCCGTTCCTTCTTTCCTTGGTTCCTTCATTTCTTCATTCCATCGTCCCTTCGTCATTTCATTCCTTCGTATCCTTAATCTTTCGTGCCTTCGTCACTTCGCCCCTTCTTCATTTTTTTCTTCCATCCTTCGTTCGCATCTTCTATTGCCCGTACTTTCGTTACTTCTTTACTTCTTTTCTTTGTTCCTTCATTTCTTCTTCCCATCGTTCCTTCGTTCTTTCGTCCCTTCAATCTTTGATTTATTGTCCATATGTCCTTCGTTACGTCGTTCCCCCGTTTCTCCGTTCTTCCGTTCCTTCGTTCCTTCTTTTCTTCTTTCCTCCGTTCCTTCCTATCTGCATTCCACCGTTCCTTAGTCTCTTCGTTCTTTCGTCTCCTCTATTCTTCGTGCCTTCGTTACTTCGTCTCTTTTCCATTGTTCCCTGCCTTCCTTTGTTCGCTCCTTTGTTTCCTCGCTCTTTCGTTCTTTATTTTCTTCTTTTCTTTGTTCCTCCATTTCTTCATTCCATCCTACCTTCGTCCCTTCGGTTCTTTCCTTCGTTCCTTCCTTGATTCTTTAATTCCTTCTTTCCTTCGTTACTTCGTAACTTCGTTTATTTATTCATTCGTCTCTTCGTCCCTTCGTTCATTTGTTCCTTCGTCCCTTCTTCTTTCTTTCCTTAGTTCCTTCGTTCGTTCGCTCCTTCGTTCCTTCATTTCTCGTTCCTTCGTTCCCCCGTTACTACGTTTTGTTTTTCCTTATTTCCTTCTTTTCGTGATTTCTCCATTCCTTCTTTCTTTTGTTACTTTGTTCCTTTGTTCCTTCATTTTTAGTTCCTTCGTTCCCTCGTTCATTCGTTCCTTCGTTGCTTCGTTGCTTCGTTCCTTCGTTCCTTCGATCCTTCGTTCATTCTTTCCTTCGTCCCTTCGTTCTTTCGTGCTTTCGTTTGTTCAATCTTTCATTTCTTCGTCCTTTTGTTTTTTCGTTCTTTCGTTGTTCGTTCCTACGTTCCTTCTCTCCTTCATCTCTTCATTTCCTGTTTCTTCATGTCTTCATTCCTTCCTCCTCCCCTTCTTTTTACTACCCTTCGTTCCTTTATTCGTTCGCTCCTTCGTTCCTTCGTTTTTTCTTTCCTTTTTTCCTTCGTCCCTTCGTTACTTCGTTCGTTCCTTCGTTCTTTTGTTTCTCCGTTCCATCTTTCCTTCATTCCTTGATTCTTTCATTCTGTCTTTCATTTGTTTCTTCGTTCGCTCGCTTCTTCGTTTATTCGTTTTTCCAGTCTTTCGTTCCTTCTTTTCTTTTTTGCTTTGTTCTTCATGTCATCAGTCCTTCCTCCTTCCCTTCTTTTTACTTCTCGAGCGTAAGCTGCGAAACTATTGTAAAAAGATCCATTTGGCGAATGGCTACTTTGATGTTTTCTTGACATTTCATTGCCCGTAGAGTATGACAAAATAGGTCTCCCGTTTCGGCCTATATACAAATTAGACAAATAACTACTAATAAAAAGTACTGAATAAGGTGTGCCACAGGGTTCAGTCCTAGGATTTATACTGTTTTTCGTCTACATTAAAGACCCTCCTAATACAACTAACTTATAAATCCATTCTGTTTACGGTTGTTTGGGGTCCGAATTGCTTTCAAATACTCTGAATTGGAAGAAAAACTTGTTAATTAGGAGTATTTATTTACAACTTTCAAAATTTTCAGTAATGAAAAAACCTCGTTTAATTAAAATTTCGAAATGCATTCTGTGCAGGTAACGAAAGATCTTTTTAAGCAAATGTAAAGACACGAACACAATCACAGTTACATTGCTAGAATCAGTGCCGTTATTACCGTTAAAAATCTAAGGCGAAACTTGAAATAGATTCTAAAATACGATGCGATAAATAGCAAAAAAATTGAAATTTAGAAATATGAAGATTCAGAAAAAATCGGCTAACAACGAAATTTAAAAATATTAAAACCGCATTTTAACACTAATGGATGCGAAATGATAAGAGATTTTCCAAATTCGTGTACCGACTCTTGAGTTGTGTCGTAAAAATGTACTATAAGATTTTAATATATTAAAATCAAATTTTCGTTTTTCAGAAATCGGTAGGTTTTTGGATAATTGATATAACATAACAACTAATAGTTTTCTTGTTAGTTAGGTGTGGGGTCTTTGTGTTTTTTTTTTGTGAAACCTGTAGTAAAATTCATACAAATATCGGATCCGTGTGACTAGAAATGTTAGCGTTTGCTCTCGAGATTTTCCCAAATTTTCGCATCTTCAGCTCGTGTCCCCTTCGTTACCCAACATCCGCCTCCGAGCAAAAATTATCTAAGCAGCGGAATATTTTCGGACATGAATCAACTTGATATATGAATGAATATTCAGGAGTCATATATTAGAGAAGCAACGGCGCGTTTCCGCGAGGTCAACAGACGACTTCCGGTGCTCCAGTCTGGCCGGTCCGCACGCGCTCGCTTCCGGTCATCACCGGACCCCGGACTCCTATTTCAAGATGCTGCAGAGAAAGGTTGTGCCATTAAACGGTATATTAATTGAACAGCGTTCGTACAATATGTCGTGATCCGCGATCAACAGCTCGTTTGTTATTCTTTATTCTTCTCCATGTTCGACGGGTGAACGGACGCCGGCCGAAAAAACTCCGCTTTAAATAAATCGAACTCGGAATTCGACATGCACTTTAAATATTCGATAATTGTTCGCGAAAAAATTTACAGTTAAAGGTAAAGTTTCGACAATTGAGGATATCGAGAAGGAGGAATCATCATCCAATTACGGGTTAATAAGAAAGGAGCGGAAGCGGCGTAATTACTGCGATAAAATTGTTATTAAATTGCAGTTGTTAAATGTATCAAAACGAATTGTGCGGGGCTTCCGAAAGCGATTCGGAAGCGGATTGAGGCTTTTTATCAAAATTTGCAACCGTTTATTTATGAATAAGAGACAACTGTTAAACTTTTAATTTCGTCGGACTCCAAGTTCGTGTTGAAAATGAGAAATGTGATTATTAAAGCTCGTTTTGCTGCATCTTTCGTGGTAATTGGTGAAAATCTTAATTTTAATACAATTTTAATACAGATGGATATTGGCAGCATGCAGGTAAATAAGTAAAGACCTTTTCTAGTAATGCGGACGGGTTTTTCCAGGACTTCATTTATGGGCACCCCCAATTAGGTGTATTACTGGAATTTTATACTAACGGCCTCTGGTGTCAAGTTCAGATTAAGCGAAAGCAAAACAAATTCACCAAAGAAGTCTTGCAAGCCGTGTGTGATTAGTTTAAAACCAGCCAAAGACTATGACGATGAATGGACGACTTCCAATTTTAACGATTTCGAGGTTATAAGAGGGGCAAAGTGGTACCTAAACTGATTACATTTATCTAAGGCTTATTTCACTTTTCAGAAAGAAATCAAAATAAAAAATATACCACCATCTTGAGCTTTTAAACATAATGAGATATGTTTTTATACAAAATGTATATTATTTTTAATAAATAAATTATTTAGTATTTGTTGTAGTAGATATTGAAAGTTCAGACATATTTTTTTAGTTATTAATTTAGTTGAATTTGATTTTACCAGTAATTTTGTACAGAATTTATGTTACTTTTCATAAATAAGTTTTGGTAATTAGCATCTTCGGACCCAAGCCTTTTATTTTTGAAAGATTTTGAAGGAATAATAGAAGGTTCTGATGTTTATTTTCCAAAAAATTGAAAAGAATCTTTGGTGTTTTGTTTTTGGAAGAATATGAAAATATCTCGTGGGTCCTGATTTAAAATAATGGCAGTCAGGACAGGCGCACCTACATTTTTTAGCGATACTTTTTTACGAATACGAGCAAGTTTGTTTTATAGATGAACAGGATTTTTTATTATCATAATCTCCATGAACAATTTACCATGTTTCTGATTACCTTAAAACGTTTGAAAGGTTCCAAAGCATTCGGTGTAGCAATTTCAAAGTTATATCGTAATAAAACATTGCAATAGACCATTGATTTTTTTCCAAAAATATGGATGTTACGTTAAAGGTAAAAACTGAATACGAGCTTTTACTGTTTTATTTTTCATGAATCCGAAGAAGTCTTGAGTGCCGCAGAGTTTTTGTTTTCTTAATTCGGGAGACTTGAGTACCCATGGTGTATTATTTTGGGAGACCATGGACTTGTTTTTGAGTTAATTTTGGGACTCCGTTTTTTTTTAAAAATTAAAAACAACCCTGAGGTTCTACATACATATTCCTGCTTGGAAAGAATTTGAAAATGCTTGGGAGCCTCTAGTCTCTTTCCTTATAATAATTTCATTCCATTTTCTAGAGGATACGTCATTTGCTAAAATCAGTCTTTTCTTAAGAGGTACTAGCCCCACCCACCCGCCCTATCCCTTCTTAGAGGATATGTTATTTGCCAAAATCAGTCTTGTCCTATCTAGTAGCTGCTAAGATAAAACTGATTTCGGCAAATGGGATGCCCTCTAAGGAAAGAGAGGGAGGGTGGGCGGGGCTACTACTTGCTTAAATAAGAGCGATTTTGGCAAATGAGATACCTTGTAAGAAAAAAGATTGTGGGTGGGCGGGGCTAGTACCTGTTAAGATAAAACTGATTTTGGCAGTTGGCATACTCTTCAAGAAAAGAGAGGGTGGGTGGGCGGGGCTAGTACTTGCTAGGAGAAGACTGATTTTGGCAAATGAGATCTCTCTAAGAAAATAAAGGGTAGTACCTGCTAAAAGCAGTTTTATCTTAGCAGCTACTAGCCCCGACCACTCACCCTCTCTTTTCGTAAAGGATATGTCATTTGCCAAAATCAGTCTTATCTTAGCAGGTACTAGCCCCGCCCACCCACCCTCTCTTTTCTTAGAGGATATGTTATTTGCCAAAATCAGTCTTGTCCTATCTAGTAGCTGCTAAGATAAAACTAATTTGGGCAAATGGGATACCCTCTAAGGAAAGAGAGGGAGGGTGGGCGGGGCTACTACCTGCTTAAATAAGAGCAATTTTGGCAAATGAGCTACCTTGTAAGAAAAAAGAGGGTGGGTGGGCGGGGCTAGTACCTTTTAAGATAAATCTGATTTTGGCAGTTGACATACTCTTCAAGAAAAGAGAGGGTGGGTGGGCGGGGCAAGTACTTGCTAGGATTAGACTGATTTTGGCAAATGAGATCTCTCTAAGAAAATAAATGGTAGTACCTGCTAAGAGCACTTTTATCTTAGCAGCTACTAGCCCCGGCCACCCACTCTCTCTTTTCGTAGAGGATATGTCATTTGCCGAAATCAGTCTTATCTTAGCAGGTACTAGCCCCGCCCACCCACCATCTCTTTTCTTAGAGGATATGTTATTTGTCAAAATCAGTCTTGTCCTATCTAGTAGCTGCTAAGATAAAATTGATTTCGCCAAATGGGATACCCTCTAAGGAAAGAGAGGGAGGGTAGGCGGGGCTACTACCTGCTTAAATAAGACCGATTTTGGCAAATGAGCTACCTTGTAAGAAAAAAAAGCTAGTACCTG